TTATCCACCCCGTGACACTTCCTGTTTTCAATTCCTATCCAATCAAACACCTTACAGACATTCTGAAGTCCCTGTCCAATCAATCAGACACACATTAGCTGTCATCTCTTTCTCTGAGTACGTGACACATTCCTCTCCATTAGACAGATTTTAGCACACACACATAATCTTACAATGACTGTGAGACTCTGATTATCTCCTTGGTAACCCATCATATTATCAAGTTTTAGATTGCTTACCAAAGTCGTTCTGACCTATTAAGTTGCTCTTTAACTCATCATTAATTATTTTATAATCCCCAAACATACTCAGATTATGTGACTATAATTTAACTGTATAGTTAATCTTATATAACTGAACAAGAACCTTTGAGGTTGTTTTCTCATTAAAGGCCTTATAAGGAACTATTTTCCTACTGACAGCAGAAAGTGCCATGGTTGATTTTAAAAGTTAGCAGTCACTAAAAAGATATTATTTATCAGCTTATGGCCTAGTTTACACATTTGACAGATACTCTAGTCATCTTTAAATGATCTGTTTTTTATAATTCATAATTAAACATTATATTCACCAACCCATATGTTATTTTCTACAATTTCTCATCAAATGTTATTTTATTCCTAACAAAACCCAAACAGGACTCCAGTCAGCCATCAGGTGAAAAGGAGAAACCCAGACCAGTGGTCATTCCATATGTTGAACCAGGAACCAGTTTCCTTGAGAGGGGCTGGACACTCTTCCACACTGGAGTTGCCCCTGGTGAGAGGCGCCGAGCAGGCGTGGGCGTACTTATTGCCCCCCAACTTGATGCCTGTGTGTTGGGGTTCACCCCAGTGAATGAGAGGGTGGCCTCCCTCCGCCTATGTGTGGGGGGGACAGGTTCTGACTGTCGTTTGTGCTTATGCACCAAACGGCAGTTCTGATTATCCACCGTTTCTGGAGTCCTTGGAGGGGGTACTGGAAAGTGCACCTCCTGGGGACTCCCTCGTTCTGCTGGGGGACTTCAATGCTCATGTGGGCAATGACAGTGAGACCCGGAGGGGTGTGGTTGGGAGGAACGGCCCCCCTGATCTGAACCAGAGTGGTGTTCTGTTGTTGGACTTCTGTGCTCGTCATGGATTGTCAATAACAAACACCTTGTTCAAACACAAGGGTGTCCATATGTGCTCTTGGCACCAGGACACCCTAGGCCGCAGTTCGATGATCGACTTTGTCATCGTCTCATCTGATCTGCGGCCACATGTCTTGGACACTCGTGTGAAGAGAGGGGCGGAGCTGTCAACTGATCACTACCTGGTGGTGAGTTGGCTCCGATGGTGGGGGAGGATGCCGGTTAGACCTGGCAGACCCAAACGTATTGTGAGGGTTTGCTGGGAATGTCTGGCAGAGTCTCCTGTGAGACAGAGTTTTAACTCCCACCTCCGGGAGAACTTTGAACATGTTCCGAGGGAGGTGGGGGACATTGGTCTGAGTGGACCATGTTTCGTGCCTCTATTGTCGAGGCGGCTTACCAGAGCTGCAGCTGCAAGGTTGTCGGTGCCTGTCGCGGCAGCAACCCTCGAACCCGATGGTGGACACGGTCGGTGAGGGATGCTGTCAGGCTGAAGAAGGAGTCCTATCGGGCCTTTTTGGCCTGTGGGACCCCGGAAGCAGCTGATGGGTACCTGCAGTCCAAGCGACTTGCGGCTCAGGTGTTGCTGAGGTAAAAACTCGGGCATGGGAGGAGTTCGGAGAACGACTTCCGCATGGCTTCGAGGCAATTCTGGTCCACCATCCGGCGTCTCAGGGGGTGAAAGCGGTACGCCACCAACACTGTTTATAGTGGGAGTGGTGGGCTGCTGACCTCAACTCGAGATGTTGTGGGTTGGTGGGCGGAATACTTTGAAGACCTCCTCAATCCCACCGGCACGTCTTCCACTGAGGAAGCGGAGCCTGGGAACTCTGGGTCGGGCCCTCCAATCTCTGGTGCTGAGGTCACCGAGGTGGTTAAAAAGCTCCTCGGTGGCAGGGCCCCAGGGGTGGATGAGATTCGCCCAGAGTTCCTTAAGGCTCTGGATGTTGTAGGGTTGTGTTGGCTTATGCGACTCTGCAATATTGCGTGGACGTCGGGGGAAGTTCCCCTGGATTGGCAGACCGGGGTGGTGGTCCCCCTATTCAAAAAGGGGGACCATAGAGTGTGTTCCAACTACAGGGGAATCACGCTCTTAAGCCTCCCTGGTAAGGTCTATTCGGGGTTCTGGAGAGGAGGGTCCGTCAGATAGTCGAACCTCGGATTCAGGAGGAGCAGTGCGGTTTTCGTCCTATGCATGGAACACTGGACCAGCTCTACACTCTCAGCAGGGTCCTGGAGGGTGCGTGGGAGTTTGCCCAATCAGTCTACATGTGCTTTGTGGACTTGGAGAAGGCGTTCGACCGTGTCCCTCGGGGGACCCTGTGGGGGGTACTCTGGAAGTATGGGATACCGGGCCCTTTGATACGGGCTGTTAGGTCCCTGTATGACCGGTGTCAGAGCCTGGTCCGCATCGCCGGCAGTAAGTCGGGCTTGTTCCCGGTGAGAGTTGGACTCCGCCAAGGTTGTCCTTTGTCACAGATTCTGTTCATAACTTTTATTGACAGAATTTCTAAGGCGCAGCCAAGGTGTCGAGGGGTTCCGTTTTGGTGGCCTTAGGATTGTGTCTCTGCTTTTTGCAGATGACGTGGTCTTATTGGCTTCATCAGATCATGATCTACAGCTTTCGCTGGAGCGGTTCACAGCCGAATGCGACGCGGCCGGGATGAAGATCAGTTCCTCCAAATCCGAGGCCATGGTCTTGAGCCGGAAAAGGGTAGAGTGCCCTCTCCGGGTCAGGGAGGAGGTCCTACCCCAAGTGGAGGAGTTCAAGTATCTTGGGGTCTTGTTCACGAATGAGGGAAAAATAGAGCGTGAGATCGATAGGCGGATAGGTGCAGCATCTGCAGTGAAGCAGGCGCTATAATGGTCTGTCTTGGTGAAGAGAGAGCTGAGTCAAAAGGCGAAGCTCTCAATTTACCGATCCATCTACGTCCTACCCTCATCTATGGTCACGCGCTTTGGGTTGTGACCGAAAGAATGAGATCTCGGATACAAGCGGCCGAAATGAGTTTTCTCCGCAGGGTGTCTGGGCTCTCCCTTAAAAACAGGGTGAGAAGCTCGATCATCCGGGAGGGACTCAGAGTAGAGCCGCTGCTTCTCCACGTCGAGAGGAGCCAGTTGAGGTGGCTTGGGCATCTGTTTAGGATGCCTTCTGGACGCCTCCCTGGTGAGGTGTTCCGGACACGTCCCACCGGAAGGAGGCCCAGAGGAAGACCCAGGACACGCTGGAGGGACTATGTTTCTTGGCTGGCCTGGGAACGCCTCAGGATTCCCCCGGAAGAGCTGGCCCAAGTGGCTGGGGAGAGGGAAGTCTGGGCCTCCCTACTTAGGCTGCTACCCCCACGACCCGACCCCGGATAAGCGGAAGAAAATGGATGGATGGATGGATGGATAATTAAACATTATATTCACAAACCCATATGTTATTTTCTACAATTTCTCATCAAATGTTATTTTATTCCTAACAAAACCCAAACAGGACTCCAGTCAGCCAGCAGGTGAAAAGGAGGAACCCAGACCAGTGGTCATTCCATATGTTGAGGGAGTATCAGAGAAACTGAGACGTTTATTTTCTAAACATAACGTCCCAGTGACTTTTAAACCCCAAAATACATTAAAGACTGGTTCATCCAAAAGATCCAGTCCCCCGGCACAAACAGAGTAATATTGTATCCTGATGCATGCTCAATAATCCAGGTAGAAAAATCTAAAAAAGTTAAATCTGGTCCTCTGGACATTCAAAAAAACAAAAC